TGAACTGCAGCGATTCTGTCCAAAGGAGTCAAAGATGAACCAGAAGCTGGTGGACGGAGACCAGAAGAACCTCGTCGAGGTGAAAATAACCAAAGGACATTTAACCAATATTAGCATTTCTGTACGTTTATTATCGACGCAGCAGATTTTGTCATGTTTCCAGAAGCTGCAAATAACGTTGATATCTGTCAGTTTAGATGCTCAGTGGTGTTGCTGCAGGACTTTCTATTGCAGTGAGAAATGAGCCCACAGTGAGTAAAAATGTGAAAGGAGCAAAAGAAAGCCCAGGAGCTGCCTGTGAAGAATGGTTGAAACGGTTTACACAGTTTAAATTTAGAGGTTTTGTGCGTTCAGAACACAGCAGCTGAACCTTCGCTGTGTTCGGGCCGCTGAGCGTGAGAGGACGAAGCTCCTGCAGTCTGAGCTGGCTGAGTCACAAACAGCCTTTTCAGTTCATGCTTCCATTTCTGTGGTTCCCCCAGACAGAGTTTCCTTCCTCCTATCAAAGCGCTGAGGCCTGTATAGCTGTAACGTATCTCAGGTGTCTCTCTGGCGGCGGTTTGGACGGCAGACCAGACAGCAGAGGTGCATCGAGCCCACAGCTGGCCGCCGCGTCTTCGTCTGCAACTCGGTTTTTCTGGTGTGTTTGGGATTGTTGGCACTAATTGGTCATTATTGTTCGCCAATTAGCACCAGCCGCTGCCAGAAACATCACTGACTGGGTCTGGAGACGCTGCTGCCAAAATGACACACGAGTAAATGTGCTGAATAATATGAATGATACGCTGCACTGATCCACAGCCTGGAACCAAATATCAGGAAAACTAGCTCTGGCAGCAAGGGTACCTGATAAAATACATCTAAAATTTTTTTATTATCTTTAATAATTGTTAAAAAATATATATAAGAACAAAAATAAAATAATGGCAAATATTTGTAAATATAATGTAGGTAAACTTTGTATTTATGGTCACACATTAAAATAAACCCAACAAATTAATATTCGCAAAAATACAGATTTTATTTTACGTTGACAGTATTTAAACTTTTGGTCTTTTTTTTTTTCCTGCTTTTTTTTAATAGTAAATGTTGAATTTATTTTTTTTCTGGGATTGTATTTGATTTTATCTGTAATTTAACAATACAAGACAAATTTTTTAGCAGATTTAAATACAGTTAAATTGTGAAATTTTATGGTTACACATAAAAGAATAAATCATTTGTATAAAAAATAAAATAAAATCAGATTTTTAATGTAGATATTATTTACAGTTTTTGCCTGCTTTTTGGGGTTACATGTAAATTGTTATTTATGTATTATCTGTAATTTAAATAGTTTAATTACATTTTTACCTGATTTAGGGACAGTAAAAAAAGGTGTGAATAAAATGTAGATTTTATTATAACATTTCATTAACATTTTTTTGTCATTTTTTAAATTATATATATATTTTTATAATTTATTATTTTTTACATGACTTCACCAAAACAGGGGAAAAATGTAAAATCACTTTTTAAAAAATATTTACGTTGTTTTACTTTAATATGTACATTTTCTTTATAACAACGGCAAATACATGTAAAAATAAGATTTAAAAAAATAAGATCTGATTTTTGGGTGATTTAAGGACAGTAAAAAAAGGGCAATTTTATGATATACTACTGCAAAAGAATGAATTACCATTTAATATAACTTCTTGATGTGACCATTGATAACATTTTTTGTCATTTTTTTCAAGTGTTAACATGTAATTTATTTGTTTTTTTTCTGTGAATTTGCTGGTTATTATTTGTCTTTTCACAAAACTGAGGAAAAATCTGTAAAATAACATTTGAAAAAGTATTTACATACAGTACAGACCAAAAGTTTGGACGCACCTTTCATTCAATGAGTTTCCTTTCTTTTCATGACTATTGACATTGTAGATTCACACTGAAGGCATCAAAACTATGAATTAACAGACTGTGTGAATCAAGCCTTCATGCTAGAATAGCTGCTAGGAAACCACTGCTAAGGACAGGCAACAAGCAGAAGAGACTTGTTTGGGCTGAAGAACACAAGGAATGGACATTAGACCAGTGGAAATCTGTGCTTTGGTCTGATGAGTCCAAATTTGAGATCTTTGGTTCCAACCACCGTGTCTTTGTGCGACGTAGAAAAGGTGAACGGATGGACTCTACATGCCTGGTTCCTACCATTTGTAAAATTAAATATTTTTTATGTGGATGATGTTCACAGATCTGGCCTGTTTTGGGATAATTCATGTTAATAAATACTTTTTTCTCTCTCTTTGATTTTACTAGTTATTTAACAAAAGACAGAAAATCTGTAAAACAAGCTGTTTTAAACATTGCAGACAGTTTACGGATTGTTGCCGGTGTTGCTCGCCTGCAGGATGACTGAAGTGATGAACTCTCTGGAGCCGGCCACGGAGGACTTCGGCGGCGGCGGAGGAGCAGCAGGAGATCAGGACACAGTATCCTTCCCTTCTGCTCAGATTATCTCTAACCAGCTCTGCTTCATCCGAGCACAAAATCGTACCGCGGTGAGTCACGGCAGCGATGAGTAAAATGTGGGTTGGTGCTGCTCGGGTCATTAGTCGGACTCAGTCCTGCTGTGAGTAAATGTTATATCAGCTGAGCCAAAAGGACAAGTGAGTTATTGTCTACTACTGTATTTTCTCCACACAATGCTTCATGATTAGTGGAGCTGGGAGCCGTTTGATGCGTCTGCATTTGTTTTATTTCTCTGTGGTTGTACGTGGACGGATCCGTTCTGCTCGACACTGAACTATCTGAACACGTTTTGGATGAAGTGCAATGAGATTTTATGGAGACATTCACAGTTTAAAGACTCCCATTGAGTGTAAATCTCTTTGGCTTGTGGCTAAATGCCTGCAAGGCTAGCCTCAGTAGCATTTAATGCTAAATAACAGGAAGAGAACGTCTTAATCTGGGGTATTATCGACTCTTCAGAGGAATTTTATGAATCAAATCGAGTTTTTTGTTTAAAGACAACCTGAGCTGACCTCTATTGTTTCTCCTTATGTGCCACCTGATTTCAAAATCTGCTGATTTTAAAACTCCTGAAGCAATTACAGCCAAATGTAGTCCACAGCTGGACCAAACAGGAGACTTGAAGCTGAAATGTAAAACCTCCGCAGCAGCAGCAAGACTTGGCCCATCTGCAGCTTGGGCTAGCTGCTTAGCGGTGACTAAACTTTCAGAAGATGCATCAAAGTGGCAGACAAAACAAATCAGCACTTCTGCTCACAATTTTCATAATAATATGATGCAGAGATTTGTGAGTCGAGTTCAGCTTTTGTCTGCAGGAAACCACAACTAACCGTGTGATAAGTTCAGCCCAGGCTCGACTCGCCAGGCTGATTTAGTTTCAATTTGGTCCGGGTTCTTGGTCGGGATCGATGTTTGGTTCAGATTATTTGAAGTCTGAAACCTCCTGAACAGCTCACAGACTCAAAAGTAGACACGTTTGAGATTTAGGGGTTTAAATCTGTATGATATGAAACGAAACGAGAACAGTGGGGAAATTTATATTGTTAGAGCAGCAAAGGGGATAATGCAAATATTTAAGAAACAACAGAAAGACATTATAAATAAACCAAAAATATAAATGTTTGCATGTTTGTTTTGGGGTTTTTTTTGGTTATGATTATGGGTCTTAGCAGTGGACACTGTTGCCCAGCAATGCTAAACATTCTAGCCCTTGATGATAACGTTAGCGATTAAAATTTCACCTCCAGGTATCGTTGAAAAACAAATAAACCGCCTTGACTGCTCAAACACTTTCTCATCTAGATGAACAGTTTTTTTTCCCCTCAGTGCAAAGTATTATTAGTTTGTGCACCACAGGCTCCATTCTGTTTCCATCTGTTTCCCCCTGAGATGACTGGAGGTGTCGCTCTGCTCCATGGCTGCTGCCTCCAGCACCATATTCTTAACATGTTGGGGAGTGTAACGCATCAAAATGTTCAGATTTTATGCAGGTCTGAGATATGATCTGCTGGTTTTAAAACTCTTTTGGGGTTTTTCGGCAAGTTTGGGCCAAAGTTGGGCTAAATGTGGTGGAGAAATTAACATTTAGGTCACTTATAACCACTGCTGTAAAACAATAGCCCAGCTTGCTTCCCAAATTAGTGAATACACTCATTTAAATGCTTTCTATTTCTGGTTATGTTCAAACATTCATAGCTCCATCGCTTTATTCTACACTGAAATAACAGAGCAACTTCTGCCTGAATTGCAATTAAATCTTATATTTACATTCCTCTAGCGCCACAATCAGGCCAAATTTTAACTGAGCTAGATTTACGACCTGCAAATCTAACAGCATTCCCTCGGTTGCATTTAATGTTTATTGCAAATTAGCAATTGTCAGCTCGCTATTATTCCTAACTTGTATGTTCTTGTCCTCTTTAACATTTGCTGAAAATGTTCTGGGTATTTTAATTTAAGAATTAATTTCATGTCTAATCTGTTGACATTTGGGTAACAGCTGGTTAATGTTGGTTTAGAAATGTGGAAAATGAGGTTATAGAAAACTCTTAACAAGTTCTGCTCGTTCTCGTAACCAAAAAACAAAATGGCCGCTTCATTAATTGGCCTCTGGTGCATGAGGCATAGTTTAACATCAAAGAACCTTCTTCACAGAGATCTTCCACCTGATGCACAGGTTGCAGATGTCCTAATCCGCTTTTTGCCGCATTGTTGTTCTTTCGCGTGCGGTTCGAGTAGCGGCGCTTTAATCCCTCCAAATATGACAAACCTCCAGTTCACCTTACATGAGCCTCGCACAGATCTTCCCAGATACCCATGAAAGGAATCCCAAGCTGTCCAAGAGGCTTCCCTCCATCGTGGTGGAGCCGACGGACGCCACCGAGGTGGAGAGTGGCGAACTGCGCTGGCCGCCGGACGAACCCACGTCTCCGGACGAGAGGAAGAATCCAGGAGGACAGACTGCAGGTGAGAAAACAGAACCGGTCCAGCGTTTGGATCCGCTAGACTCACATCAGCCAATCACAGGTGAACCAGGAAGTAAACAGAAGCCACGTGGACTCATCAGCAGGTCTGGCTGTGGTGGAAGAAGAACTAAAATCCTAAAAATGCTCCATCTGGGTTTTACCTGCCTCAGAACTGGAGGATTTTTGGAGGGAACTGAATCACTGCGTGGCCTCATTTGACAGAAATCTAAGCTTCTTCCTGTTATTTCTGACCACCTGATAAACCAAAAACTACTAATAAATGTGAGCTAAAGACATCCAAACGACAAAACTGTATTCTTTAGCACTGGCTGAAACACACAAACAAACTACCTCTCTCTATATATATAGCATTAAAAAGATCAATAATCATCGATATCGGCTAAGTTTAAACTTTCTTTTTCCACCATGTTGTCAAACCCTATATTTAATAGTTGAATTGTTGAGATCTGGCTGAACCATTGAGCTTTTGCTTTTTGTTTATTTATTTTACTAAAAAAAGACTTCAAGTTTGGAGGAACTTTCTTCGTTTAACTCTTAGAGTGGAAACAGTTTGCAGCGTGAAGTGATTAAACACTAAGTGTCTCCATAAGCAGCAGCTAGTAGTGGGTAAGGAATGAAGGTAAACATGATTTATACGTAGCTCACTAAACAGGCCAATATTTCTCACTAACAGGAACGAGAGTATGAAGCTGCATCACTTGCACTGTAAAACTAAATCTGTAAAATCAAACAAACAAACAAACCTGTCAGAAAAGGTGTAAAAACCAACATGAACAAGAAAATGCAAAAATATAAACAGTAAAACTGTGTAGTGTTTGGTCACACGTTGTAAAAGAACAAATTATTATTTGTGAAAATAGAGATTTTTTGTGTAAATTAATGTGTTTTGGGTTTTTTTTCTGTGATTTTTGAGATTTTGTCTTTCATGCAACCAAACAAGAAACATCTATAAAATAACAGTACATTTTTTAAACCATTTTTCAAGTCTAGATATACATAATTATTCTAAAATAACTGCATTTTTAATGGTATAAATAATAGTTTTTGTTGATTTAAATACAGTAAAGGTAAGTTTACCATCAAATGTTGTAAAAAAAAACCAAAAAAATCATTTGTAAAAAAAAAACAATTAATTAAATTGAGATAAATTGAATCCGGATTATTGATGAGGACATTATTTACAAGTCACATATTAATACTTTTTTTTCAGTCATTTTACTATTTATTAGCTGTAATTTAACCAAGCAGGAAAAACAGTTCTAAAATGTACCATTTTCAGTCTTCAATATGCAGAATTTTACTTCCAGACAACAGCAAATATCTGTCAAATTACATGTATTGCTGTTTAAAACACAGCAAAACTGTAATTTTCTGTTCAAAAATAGTAAATACATTTAAAAAAAATTTTTTTTTTTAGTTAAAAATGGTTAAGAAAACATTGTGGAAACTGTCGAGTGACGTCCAAGTAATTCAGATTTGTACCCAAGTTGTCGTTCTCCCAACATTTGTGGTTCTTATCTGGTGTTTGCTCCACTGTAAGTCATTCAAGCTGCTGGCATTTATGTCGCTTAATTTGCATTTTTCTCCCCCGACTGGCCGTCAAAAAATTAGCATCCGTCTCTGTAAAGGTTACTTCTTGTAATGTCGTCGTGTCTTTGTGCTAATGACGCACTTTGCAGTCGTTTTACCTGATCGCAGGAACCGAACAAAACAGGAAAAACACTGGAGAGCAGACGTGTTGTGGTTTACTGCGGCATAATATTGTGATTACATGCATCAGCGAGTTGAGAAATGAACGGCAGTATCGAGTCCATCTAATCAGCCGGCGCCCAAACGGAGCACAACTCACAATAACTGCAATTTTCCACTTAGAGGGCGTCGTTTGAAGGGACACATTTCACCGGAGTTCACGCCGTCCCGTGTGGATCTGCCGGCTGCTGGAGTTTATCTTCATCGCGCTGCTTCTGAGAGGCACTTGACGTTTTAAAATGCAACCGAGCAGCAGATTTCAGCGTCACGGCCAAAGAAAATGGGGATTGCAGAATATGAACCTCTTCGGTTTCTGCTCGTTTCATTGCTTTGCTGTTTTTGATTTATTTAAGATTAAATTTGACATGTTAAACTAACAGTACCACTTTTGGTTTGTGCATGGCTCCATTAGAGCTCAGAAAAACTCAGAAATCTGTCTGAAGTTTGCAGGAAATAGGGATTGTTCTCTCTGGGTTGGAGACAACAAGCGAAGGAGTTTCAGCGTCTTCGGATCTCGTTTAAAGTCACGAGAAAATGGAGCTTTAGTTCAGTTGAAGTTCCAAACCTCACCTATATTGTAAAAACAAAACAAAACAAAACAAAACAAAAAAACAAAGAATAAAGAAAAAACAACTTGTCAAAATGCTTATTTTTTGCACAATGTAATTTTCTCCATTTTGTGAAAATGCAGACAGCAACTTGTAAAATCACAAAAAATATTCATTTACATGTTAACTATAGAAAAAATAAAATAGAGTCCACATAAAAAGTTTGTATTTTTTAAAATTGTATTTTGTTCTTTCACGTTTGACCATAAAATCACACTATTTTTTTTACTGTATTTAAATTGATTTAAAAAAAAAAAAAAAAAGTTTCACAAATACAAAACAAATTTTACAAATATTTGCTGTCATTAGAAAAAATAAATATGTATATGTCAAATTTATGCTGCAAAATCATCTTTTAATTGTTATTTCACAGCTTTTGATTGGTACAGATACTTATAAAATTAGAGAAAAAAAAAAATTACAAAAGGCCAAAGCTGTAAATAACATCCATTTTAAAAGTTTGTGTTGTTATAAACTGAATGTTGCTCTTTCACATTTGTCCATCAAATTACACAACATTTACTGGATTCAAATTTGTCAAAAAATTATTTGTTAAAATTATTTAGATAAAAAATATATGTACATCAAGGATTGCAATTTTTTCATTGCATACAATGCATTAATTTACAAAAAAAGGCCAAATCATTAATTGTTATTGTAATTGTTTTGTCAAGAAAGTGTTATTTTACAAATATTTGCCATTATTAGAAAAATATGTATATGTCAAATGTAAAAATTCAAAAATCATTTTTAACCCTTGTTTTGAGATTTTTTACTATTAATTTACTAAAAAAAAACCCACACACACAAAAAAACCCTCAAAAACAAACTTGTAAAAAAAAAAACAAAAAAACATCCGAATTAAAAATTTGTATGTTTAGAAATTGAATCTTGCTTTTTTATGTTTGACCATAAAATTACACAATTTATACATTTACAGGATTTCTATCTTTAGAAATATATGTTATTTTATAGATATTTGATATTTGTTTTTATTTGGAAGAAAAATGATGTACGTTAAGGATTGCAAAAAATAATAATTTAACCTGGTATTTTACTGATTTTACCTGTTTTGTTATATCACAGATAAAGTGGTATAAAAGGGGGATTCATTTACATGTTGACTGTAAAAAAATAAAGTTTTTTATTTATGTTGTTGCAAAGAAAGCATAAACGTAAACCCAACACCTGCTGGTTTTCCAGATGTGGAGCAGTCGGACGCCGGTGCGGACGAAGAAGCTTCAGGCGAGGAGATGCAGGACTCCAACTGAACTGATTCTCCTCCTGTGAATATACTCTGTGACTGTGAGTGTGTCCCGACGTGGATGAGTGGCGTTCAGTAGAGGAGCTCGTGGATAGAACAGACGGAGGCGACGAAGGAGACAAAGTGTAGAAAACAAAAAACAAAACAAAACAAAACAGATTCTTAAACCCCAGCCGACGGCTTGGAGCCAGAGTCGTGTCGGCGCCTTTCCTCTGACACGCTAATAAAGATGATTGAAGGGGACCAAGTTGCCATTGCCTTTTCCGACTAAAATTTATTTTCTTCGTCTGCTTGAACTCAAAGATAAGTTTTGGCAGCAGACGTGTTTTTATCGTCCCCGTCTGATACGACTGTTGTCACATCTCCAGCTTTGTAAATACAGATTTTTCTCTCTCTCTCTCTGGCTCCAAGCCCTCGCCGTCCAGATGTCTGCAGCTGGACAGATGTTTCTAAATGCTGTATTAAGTATTTAGCTCATGCTACGTGCCATACTACTACTACTGATGGTAGCTGCTGTATCCTGTGCACAGTTTTTACATTAACTTTAGACGTACTGTAAATGACACCACTGTTTGTTGAGTGCTCTAGTTTGGTGATCTTGGTCTCACTTTGTAATAATAATAATAATAGCGGCGAGTTTCCACGACTTTATTCGATGTCATTACACTCTTTAATATACTCGAACATGTGAGCATCGTCTTCATACGGTAGGTGTTAAAGGGAATGTAGTTGTTCTACTTTAGGATATCGGAGCAATATGTTTAAAGGCAGTTTCCATTTTGTTAAGAAGAACCAGGATATTTTAGACGTGTGTCGCTTGTCACAGACAGATTTTTTAAAATACTGGGAGCTTAAATTATTGCACAAGTAATAAACCTTTTGAAAAATTCTTACATTTTGTTGCCCCTGCTGTGGTTTGTGCCGGTCGTAGCCTCGCTCGTTGGTTGGTCGAGCAGCTTCGTCTTCTAGAAAATAAGTAAAAAATGTTGGTAACAACAAGAAAAACACGACTTTTAATCATCAGGTAGAATAAAATAGGCCTGATGTGAAGTAAGGTTATCAACAGTTGAAAAAAAGGCCTGATTCATGCATTTACAAACGTAAATTCAACGTAAATCCAACTTTTATGACGTCAGATCTCTATTTCAGTTGGTCACATGCGGCGTGTATCGGTTTCGTACTCGCTTGTTCCAACGTTTTCTACCTTTGTGTTCCAGAAAATTAAAAAAGCAGTTAAGTCACATTTTCAAGTATTTCTGACAAAACCACGCCTTATTCGTCACAGCAGGTTGGTCTAAATGCACAGTAAAAACTTTAAGGTCACCACTTTTGGTATCTCACCATAACCGACTACATTACCCATGAGCCTCAGTTGGTGTTGCCACGGAGATCAGTCTAGCCAGATGTGTGAATTAGAACAAATGCTTGTTGCAGCAGTTGTTAGCAAAACTAGACACCAAAGTAGCAGCTAAAAAAAAAATAGAAATAATCTCCAGATTGTTCCTAGAAGTCTCTAAAAAGAATCTCTGTGGATTAAAGTTCCAGATTTCGAGGTTTCTGCAGTGAAACGAATCCCTTCCTGCCTCAGAAGTAGCTCAGATGCAGCTCTGCACCACTGCTTCATCTACAATTTGCAGATCTGTTAAGTCCATCTTCATTCCCCCCTGTGCTGCTAGCTGCAGCTGGAGCACACCAGCTCACCTACAACACTGCTTAGTACTCATTCAGCGAGACATGACGGCAGAATAATGATGAGAAGAAGCAGTTGGGCTGTTTTGGTGTATTTCCAACCACAAGAACCTTCTCAGTAGAACCTTTTTCTGGGCTGTTGTCATGGAGAAAACAAAAACCTGCTCCATGGTGGGTACTGCTGACAAACTACTTTGGGGGTCGACTCGCTGTTAATTAATTTTTTTCAGCCCTCTCAGTGTCTTTGGTTGAATCTTTCCCAACATCGCCATTAACGCCGCTAACATCCAGTCGTAGTTCTGGTGCACCTGGAGTTAACGTCACAGTTGTTGTATCCTACAGCGCAATAGAAACAAGAAGGCTGAAATGTTCCACTTTGCCTTGAGTTCCTGCATTGGAAAGTCGCACATTGGTTCTCTAGGTTTGTTACGTATGAAACACGAGTCTGCGTTTTTTAGACCGTCATCGGTACACTGCAGTAATAAGGTGGAAATGTTCAGTCATGATGTTGACTACGGATGTCGACGGTATCGGCAAGAACCTGAGTCTGATCCTTCATTTATGTCCGCTGTCACACATGTTGGAAATCTGAGTAACTTACTAAACACGTGCAGCAGTATTAATCAATAACTAACAAAAAATCTGCATATATTTTGTTAATCTGATGTTGCTGCCACAACTGCAACCAGCACATATGCTGCTAGGAAATAGGGGCAAAACCTTAATAAGTCCAAATCCTCTGTCAGAGAAGTCTTCGTCACGGTGGCCCTTTACTAGCGCAGCATCCCTGCTTGCCAACATAGAACTGCCCATGTTTCCTGCTGTAATAAATAGTAAGAGGCTCCATCTGGTGGTGCAACTGGGTACTACAGCTGAGCAACAATACCTCGTGTGTATTATCTAGAAAAATGGTATTAGCAGATGCTAAATATGAAAAGACTTGGATCGGATTGGGGGTACAAACGGGACCATCTCTAGTGTTGACTGCCTGTTTCTCACATATAAAACACCATATTGACACACCAACAAAAATAATGGTATTTTTCCCTGATTATATACAGTTAACCAGTAATTTTTGGCAGCAGCGGCTCCAAATCTGCTCAGTGCTCGGCTTCCTGGCCTCTGATTGCGAACCCATAAATGGAAGGCAGCCAGCAGTATAGATGACGGCGACACTGCAGGTGTTGAAACCACATGAGCGACGAGAGCTGTCAGGTGTAAACAGTGCTAATGTTAGCCTCCGTTCTCAGAGTGACACACAACGTTAACAACACGATGGCTCCTCAGGAAGATTGAACAGTGGATAGAGATGAATGTCTCAAGTCACAGCATCAGTTTGCTCCAATCAGCAGCACACTTGGATGTGAAGTCCATTATTTACTGGACTCCTGATGCTTGAGGTTACACCGAATTTCTCTCGAGCAGATCTTTTTTGGGGGATTTGTGCTTCTTACTTGCGCTACATGTGGCAAAACAACATCATCAGCCCTCCTGCACAGACTTCCTGCTTTGTCACTTTGCTTTTTGAAGCATGAAAACTAAAAGCCAGCGGTTGCAGCTTTGCAAAGCGGCAGGTGAGAAGCAGGTGCGAACTGAAATCTGCAGCTGATGAAGGAGCTGTGTCAAAGTGTGGGAACAACAACCCCATCAAATGTCTGCAGGTACATCATGTGAGAAACTCACTGGATGAACATTTTTCAGATGAACACACAGTTGTGGATCGCTTCATCCAGTCAGAACATTCTGAACTGAACAACATTGAATTATGGTCGATTTAATTAGGCTTTTTTGGCAAGAATTTACGAAAAAGACTCTTTTATGTTAAACTGAAAACAGATTTCTACAAAGTAATGCTCATTGTCTTGCTGGAAAACTGATCTTCTCCAAGTCTCAGCTCTTCTACAGACTGCATCAAGCTGACCTCCAGGATTTCTCTACACTTTGC